TCTCCGTAAGATTTAATTTTCCTGAGGAATAGGAAATTTCTTCGTTTAAATAACTGGCCTTTCACACCTGAAATAAAATCTAAATGAAGTCTTAGAGTTAAGAATAGTTTCTGGCTTCACGAAAAACCTAACTTAGATGAAATAGAAAAATTTTGCTCAGCAGAAGTTTAGCTGAAGAAGACAGTGTACAATAAAATGTAATAGTGGAAAAAATGTTTCTAGTTAGAGCCATGACAAGTAATATGTATAAATTTTACTCTAAGAAGGCTTTGTTTTAGTATTACTGATTTTAAGGATATTTATTAAGTTTAACGTGAAGCAGATTAAGCTAAAGGTGTTTTTCTTCTACATAAAAGTATTCAAAGTTTGGCCATGGTTACTGCTGACTCTTGGAAAATTTAAATTTGTCATGTTTATGAAAAAAATAATTTCTGAAACTACATGTCTGAGTATTAACAATAGAGTAATATCTTTCTTTGAGTGATTATGTTTTTTAACTGTTGTCCTTATTTGTCTTTCAGATAATCCTAGGAGAGACTCTCTCTGTTTTTTATAATCATTTGCACTCAAATTCATTTGTCAGAAATAACTACATAGCCACTATCTACAAAGCCATTGGGACCTTCATCTTTGGAGCAGCTGCTAGCCAGTCGTTGACGGACATTGCCAAGTACTCCATAGGTAGACTGCGTCCTCACTTCCTCGCTGTGTGCCAGCCCGACTGGGCACGAATCAACTGCAGTCTAGGTTACATTGAGAACTTCTCTTGTCAAGGAGACAAAGCAAAAATCAATGAGGGAAGGTGAGTCCAACTAACCCTGGTTTGAAGACTTGTTCATTAACTTGGGATGATGAGTTTAATATTGCTACTTGTGGGTTTTTGTGCTTCTCCTAGAATAAATTTCTTGTAATGAATTTTCAACTTGGAAACCTGTGTAGACACTTTTTTCCTGATTTGTGGAAACTTGTGTTGTTGATGTACAGAAAAATGCATAAATTATGGTGTATTTCTGGTTGGTTACAAGATGTATTGACACGCTGGAGGGAAGGGATG